TTTTAAATCTTAAATGCATATAAGCGCATAACATGAAACGCTATATAGACACTACAAAAAGGCCAATTTTTTTAAAAAAATAATTGATTTCCTTAGATTTAAATTTTTGCAGAGAAAATAAGAATAAAATTTTAACATTTTGAAAAATATAATAAAACGATACTGACTTTGTTATGTACTATATAGTAATAACCAGGGCTGGCAAGTCGGTCAATTAACCGGTCAAATTCAGTCAATTGACAGAAGGAGTATTTGACTTGGTCAAAATACTCTAAAAAAACTGAAGAAAAATAAAAAAAATATGTTTGAAAAAAAGAAAAAACGATATAAATACACGTAATAACAATGCTGTTTCCCCAATATCAAGGGGAGCGTCTTACTAGTAATGAAATTAATCAAGTTTGTGATATAATATAAGAATTAGGCATTTTACAAGGTGGTGATGATCAAAATATTTTAAGGGATATCATAAATTTCAGAAGTAAAAGTGGCCAGTTTGATAGTAAATTATGTGGAAAGCAGTAAATTCGAAACATTCAGATTCCATTGGGCTTTGCTAAGCGACATTTTACCAATGTTATTAAAGAGCTCGATTTGGTCGATTTTCTAAAATGGCCTGATTTTACCCAAAAGTATATTATGTAAGCCTGGAGATTTTGCACATAGATATCAGAAAGGTTTGGACCTATATTTTCCAAATCTCGAATCTTACGTATTATTATTTGGACTAAAATCGTAATGGGGTCGTTTTCAAAAATCGGGTCATGCCATTTAACAACACTACATTTTACTAACAAATTTTAGTTCTTCTTCTTCTTCTAAAAATAATAGGTCGATTTGGGGTAATATTCTTACCAAACAAAGAAATCGATTGAAGATCCTGACAACAGGAAATTCGAAAAATTTTATAATAATTTAGTTAATTATCAAATCCATTTAGTTTAAATAGAAGTTGAATTTTCTTCTAAGTTTCGTGAAGTAGAATCTAATTTCACCTTTTATAATACTATAATTTGTCAAGAACGTCAAATAAAAGATAAATGTGTTATTCTAGATCATTCTTGACGGGTTAACACAGCTACAGCTAGTATATAATATTTATCCAATGAACTTTTACCTTCACACACTAAAAAACTCCATATTAGTAAGAAAGTAATCGTCTAAAAATAATGTGTAGGACCTACATTTACCCCTTACAGGCCTGTCCCGAGTTTAAAAAAAAAATTTTTTTTAATGAATGATTATCCCCAATGGATTTCATATTTTAAATACGACAAATATATTATATCAAAAATCTTAAAATACAAAGTTGGAAACAATGCCCTGTAGATAATCTAACAATGAATGATATTAATTATACAATACAAATCACCAATAAAAAAAGTGGGAAAAAACATATGCCTAGATTTTCACATTAAAAGAAATTACCCCTTTCTAAAATTTATTTATTTTTTTTAGTTTTATATAAACAAAAAAAATTAAAATATGGGCCAGCCCATGGACCTGGGCTTAGGGCCTGGTATGCAGGTCTTTGAAATATATTAATTTGACCTACAAAACCTTAATCTAGCAAAATTAAATTATTAGGTTATAAATTATAAATTTATTAAAATACATTTATAAATAATTTAATATTGTGTACATATAAAGACATTCTAAGATATTATGTATAGTGGTCTGCAATACCAGTCCCAAGACCATACATCTGAGAATTTTTTTGGGCCAGGCTGTACAAAAAAATGAATTGTATATATATTTGATCAATAAAATATAGTGCTTTAATTTAACCACTACCCAAGATCATAAATTGTTATTTATTTAAGTTCAACAACATATGTTTGGATCTTGTATTTAAAAAAATTTAAAAATTGGGCTAGACCAGACAACTTTAGTATAATATTGAAACTGGTCTGGGTCAAGAAATGGCTGTGTTAGGAATTAACTAAATTCTCACTAGGCGGCATATGAATTGATTCACATATTCCAATTATTTGTTCAAATTGAAGGTACTAACATTATATACTTCATTAATATATCCTATAAAAATAATATAAAGAAATTTAAATGAGCTCTCATCAAAACAATGATAAATTTCTGATTCACACCTCATAAAATAGGTTAATTTATGATTCATCCATTATCAAATAATATAGGAGACATTTCTGATTACCCATCATCAAATAAAAGGGAAATTTACTATTTCCCATCATTCTTGACAGGTTATCTTATAAACATAACACTTTTTATATATATATAAAAACTATAAGGCCACTCTATGAAAAGAAGATAGATATTAGGGGTATCAGATGCTTTAATTAGGTTAAAAAAAGCAAAATTGTGAAAAAATTTTGATACAAAGAAATATTTTTGAGATATTATGAAATTTTTATCAAAAAGATTACAATCCTCTAAATAATTTAAACTTAGTTGTGAGTATATATATTTGCTGGAACCTTCAGAAAATAATTTAAAAAATATATTTGTAATATGATAGCCTCTCATATGTTGCTAATGGAGAGTAAAGCATATATATAGTATTTAGAAAGCATTAAATAAAATATGTTAACAAAGTATATATTTTCTACCTTCAATGTTAGTAATGGATAAATCATAAAGTTTTTATTCAATGTAAATTAAATGATTGAAATAAGTATGTTACATAAGTATGCTCTGTCCAGCTATCAAAATTTTAAAACTATAGTTGATATAGTTGAAACTCTTAATTTAAATATCTATATTAAGGTTCGTTAAATTATTTTACTTGATTTCAAAATTTTAAAAATGGTTGAAATAGTTGTAACACTTAATTTAACGGGCATGACTAAAATACGCGTCCCCGAAAACTACGCGTCCCTACGCGTCCCTACGCGTCCCCGGTCAAACGGGTTTAATTTATATAATATTAATAAAAAATCTTATTTAGCTTTATAAGATGAGTTAAAAAATGTTTTTTATGATTTTAAAAAAAATGATAACTTAGTAAAATTAAAAAAAAATTTTTTTTTACATCAAAAAACTACGCGTCCGCTTCCCCGGTCAAGATACAATTTTTTTTTTTAAATAAAAGTAGATTCATATTTAGCTCATTAAATGAATATAGAAAATGTTTTTTAAGATTTAATAAAATGATAATTTAGTAAAATTATTAAAAAATTATTTTTTTAAATTAAAAAACTACGCGTCCCAACGCGTCCCTACGCGTCCCCGGTCAAGATACATTTTTTAAAAAAAATAAAAGCAGATTCATATTTAGCTCATTAAATGGATACAGAAAATGTTTTTTTTGATTTAAAAAATAAGTGGTAACTTAGTAAAATATTTAAAATACTAATTTTTTACTTAAAAAAACTACGCGTCCCTACGCGTCCCCGGTCAAGATACATTTTTTTAAAAAAAATAAAAGCAGATTCATATTTAGCTCATTAAATGGATATAGAAAATATTTTTTCTTATTTTAAAAAAAAGTGGTAACTTAGTAAAATTATGAAAAAACACTTTTTTTTCATTTTTTGACTAAACTACGCGTCCCTACGCGTCCCCGGTCAAGATAGATTATTTTTATAAAAATGAATATAGAATCGTGTATAGTTTTTCAAGGATCCGAAAATGGTATTTATAATTTTTTTAAAAAAAAGGGTTTTTTTAAATTTTACTAAGTTATAACTTTTTTTAAAAATAAAAAAACACATTTTCTGTATCCATTTAATGAGCTAAATATTAATCTGCTTTTATTTTTTTTAAGAAAATGTATCTTAACCGGGCACGCGTAGTTTAGTCAAGAAAAATTTTTTTCGAAAATTAATTTTTTTTTAATAAAAAATTATAAATACCATTTTCGTAATCTCCTTGAAAAACTATACCCGATTCTATATTCATTTTTATAAAAATAATCTATCTTGACCAGGGGACGCGTAAGGACGCGTATTTTAGTCAAAAAATGAAGAAAAAAAGTGTTTTTTCAAAATTTTACTAAGTAACCACTTTTTTTTTAAAATCAACAAAAACATTTTCTGTATCCATTTAATGAGCTAAATATGAATCTGCTTTTATTTTTAAAAAAAAAATGTATCTTGACCGGGGACGCGTAGTTTTTTAATTTTAAAAAATAATTTTTTAAAAATTTTACTAAGTTATCATTTTTTTATTAAATCGTTAAAAACATTTTCTATATTCATTTAATGATCTAAATATGAATCTGCTTTTATTTTTTAAAAAAAAATGTATCTTGACCGGGGACGCGTAGTTTTTTGATGTAAAAAAAATTTTTTTTAAATTTTACTAAGTTATCATTTTTTTTTTAAATCATAAAAAACATTTTTTGACTCATCTTATAAAGCTAAATAAGATTTTTTATTAATATTATATAAATTAAACCCGTTTGACCGGGGACGCGTAGGGACGCGTAGTTTTCGGAGACGCGTATTTTAGTCATACCCAATTTAACCGATGTTTGCAATAAGTTAGAAAAAAATCTCGGGTATTCCCTTTGACATATTAATCGATAATTGATCAGAAATATTTTTCTATTTTTTTTTATTTTGACCATAATAATGTATGTTACATATAAGTCATAAATTGTAATTAACAAGCAATTTATTGTATTTTATATATTGGTATGAACTAAAATAAAACAGTTTTTATTTGCATGGAAACGTAGTGCACATTGACATTTCGAGAATTTTACATGTGTAACACCTTTACATAGTGGATTTTTGCACCTTTGACGATTATTCGTCCACTCTGGGAAATGTCAAATTTGATCCGTGCGAATATCTGTAGACGGTACGAAAGACTTAAGCCCCCTTCTTTTTTTTATCTAAATGAAAATATAATACAATAATAAATAAATAATCACCTTCTATTAGATTTTCGACCATAGAAGAAGGACGTTCGCGTTTCAATTCTATTGTAGCTTCAACGTGACACATTGTTGTGGCTACTTCTTGGCAAAATTCTGATAGAGAAAAAACAGAATTGTCATCTGATTTGGCTTTCTCACCTTAAATACGTCGATATAATAACCAGGAATTTACAACTGCCATATCAAAAAGGTGTTGGAAGACTGTTATATACCACTTTTTAGATCTGGTTGTATTATGATATCTTCCAATATTGCTGTCTAATAAATCAACCCCTCCCATATGTTTGTTATATTGTTTGACAAGCATGGGACAAGCTATATTTAGTCTTTTCTTGGTTTTGCGGTAATATCGTTCAATATGACTCTGGGGTAATTTCCCGTACAATGTTGACAAAAAGGTTACCGTTTTATTATCTTTCCACACTAAGGATGTTATATCTATCCCTTCAATATTTGCCATGTGTTCAAAGGATGACCCTCTGATCTCTTTTTCCATTTCGATCTCTGTAGGAAGCTTACAATTTGGGATCCTACTCCTCCTTACAGTACCAAGACTGTATATACCTATAAATATACTTGAAAAATTAAATATATAATATATTTATTACGCTTCTTTTTGCCAAATATATCAAATGGTTTATTGAGGTGTAGTAATTATCAAAATATAGCTTAAAATTTTGATTTATAGGTATTGTTCGGCTTAGACGTACAACAATATTGCTAGACGCTCCTAAATCTGGTTCTGTTGTTGGTCTTTTTTCATAATCATTTTCCTGCCCAAAATATAACTCAAAATCATAGGCAAATCCTGATACACCGCATAAAATGAAGAATTTAAAGCCCCATTTGTGAGGTTTCATTGGCATGTATTGTTTTAAATGTATACGAGTTTTGGTTGAGCAAATTTGCTCATCGATTGATAAGCATCTTTAGGAATTGTACGAAACCTAATTTTGAAAATGTTTCACAATTGAGTCTACTTTTATAAGCCTATTATGGCCTGGTTGACCTTTTGCTATAGAATTATTATTGTCATTAAAATGAAGAATGGATCTAATGCTTTCAAATTTAGTGATAGTCATAGACTTTTTTATAAGATCATTGCCAATTACATCTTTTCAATAGTCTCTTATGGACGGTAATTGGATGAGAATATTAATTCCAATGAATTTCCTTAACTCCATTATAGAAATATTTATAGGTTTGTTAATATTTTTTATTGCTGCATATTTGGTTGATTCGATAACTACTAAATCTAGGAAATTATCATTCAAAAAATATGGTGAACATTGATAGGGAGTATGTAAAGCCAGTATCTCGCTGGATAAAGTGGACTTTCCATTTAATTTTAGATAATTTTTAGGGATATTTAAATTTTTTTTCATCCATAATATATCTCTTATAATAGTAAAATTATCTAAAAATGTTGAATTATCATCCTCATTATCGTGGTCATCTTCTATTAAGCTATCATCAGAAGAATAATCAGATGAAGAAATCATTTTAGTGTCTTATATGTAACGTACATATATTATCGATTAAAATATTTTTAATTAATTTTTTTTTAAATATAAAAACGGAAAAGAATATAGGAATATTTTAGTTATCTGGTTCATATTTTTTTGAAAAATAATATCAAAGTTTAATATTAAAAAAATGTAATTAAAAATTAGAAAAAATGTCAATTTTGAAATATAGGGAACAGCTGACATTAAATACTTGTACTTTAAATAAATATAAGAATTTCTATTTAAAAAATTGATTTTTATATAAAAGGAAACTTATAAGACACAATATAAATTTTCGCGCCAAAATAATTTACGCGGTAAAATAGGTCAGAAAATTTACTATGTAACTGATTAGTAGTCATATGTAATAATAAAGGGTTCTATATTAAGATTCATTTATAATATTATAAGTTAAAGTTAAAAAATTTGCGCGAAAAGCAAAATATATAAAATATATACATAGTGTTGTTAATCGACTTAGCCTAAATTTTTGTCAAATAAAAAATAATTTTATTTGTGCCATTATTATAATTATAAATTGTGGCATAGACCACTTCAAGGGGCTTCCTATCTAATCCATTGGTTTTTTTAGGCCATAATAAATTGAAAATCATTTTTATTTATTAATAATGATACGCATAGAATAATTTTATTGTTTAAATTATCATAATATTTATAAATCAAAGCTAGGTGTGAAATGAAATGAAATCTTTTATAGTTTTTTTTTTATCTTTTTCTAAAATTATCTATTTTTTATGTATATTAAAAGCAGTGGTTTTTTCTAAATAATTTATTTTTAAATATTTATAGTAGACTTTTTTATGTTATTTTCATAATATGATCTTTTTAAGATACTATACTATTAATGTGTTGTTATATTCGTTATTTTTTAACATTTTTGAAATTTTTTGGCACAAAAGGGTAAAATAAAATTTATATTTTAAAGTTGCTAAATTATAAATTAAATGAGGATGTCCTTGGGTAAATGATAATTATATCGGTATCAGGCGCGCAACCTCTGGGGGAAAAAGGGGGAAATTCCCATTCCCATCGTAAATTTGACTGTTTTCATAAATATCATTTTAGCTAATAAAAATTTTACCCCCCCCTCCCTTACCCCCTTCCCTCCCTCTCCCCCCTCTCCCTTACCCCCCCCCCCCTCCTTACCCCCCCCCCTTCAATCAAAAGTTTACAAGTATTTGAATATCAATTTTCCAACATATTATTCAAAAATATTAATAAAATGGAAACATATTTAGTCAAAGAGATTGAGATCAAACGATAATTTATTTTATTATTATATATATTTATATTTATTTTATAAAATTCAAAATTATTAGTGAGTTAGAATTAATAAGTATTTTTTATAATATTTTAATTATTAATAAATATCTATTTTTTAAATATTTTTCATTTTTACTTCCATTTTGTAGAACAGAAGAAATAGAAATACAAAAGTTAAATAAAGCTGAGCATGAAAAAAAATAATGTGTCGTCAGAAGCGATATCATTATTGAATTCAATTGATCAATCAGAGTTTATCATTGCTGCTTGCTAGTTGCATCAATAAATTATTTTTAGCTCACTACTTTGTAGAAATTTACAAAAACTAAATTTAGATTTGGTTCAGGTTATTGATTTGGCAGAAAATATATATGAACAGGTAGATACAATAAAAATGAATGTAGATAAATATTTCCATAATATTTATCAAGACGTTGAATCGAAGGCTAAATTTTATGATATAACAATAATTAAACATTGTCTAGCACCTAGGCCATTATTGAGATGTAAATTAAATATTGGCTCAACTGAAGAATATTATAAAATATCCATTTTCATCTCATTCTTAGATACTTTTTTATCGCAAATAAAAGTACAGTTTTTAGATAAAAAACAAATCTTTAGCAATCTTCAAGTTTTATTACCCAAAGATCCTTCTTCGTTTTCTAATGCCACTATTGGTAAAATTAAATATTTAGGAAAATTTTATTCCTATGAGATTAATACTGTAATTAATTTAATCAGTGAATTCAAATTGTGGTATAAATATTTACTATGTTTAGCTATTTTACCTGAGCATGCTATTGATGCGCTCAATCGGTGTAAAGAAACTTTGGCTCAATTTCCTGATATTTTGAAGTTGTTTTATATTCTTGCATGTTTGCCTATTATAACTATGTACGAATGAAAGGACTTTTTCCAACTTGAAAAGGTTGAAAACATATTTATGAAGTACTGAATCTCGGCTAAATGGGTTAGCTTTGTTAAATATCCACAGAGATTTGGTTCCAACGACAAACGAAATTCTTGATGAATTGGCAACATTCTCACGAAAATTAAAAATCACATTATAATTATCGAAAATATTTTACAAACGAAATTCTTGATGAATTGGCAACATTCTCACGAAAATTAAAAATCACATTATAATTATCGAAAATATTTTTGTATTTGATAAGAAGTTAAAAAAAACTTGTTAATTTAATTATTTTCTAGTCAATATCTTATACACACTACTATTAGTATTTTCAATAAAAAAAATTATATTCTACTTATATTATATGCAGAATTTAAGCTGAGGCTAATTTTTAAAGAAAATTTTATGGATAGGTAATAATACGTGATCACCTAATTTAAAGTTGTTTTCTCCTTATTTGAGAATAAATAATGTTTTGACGCCCACGATCATTTAAATATGAAATAAAAGAAGGAGCCGTATTTAAAATATTGGAAATACTATTCCCAATATTATTGGTAGCACAACTATTTTTCCATGTAATTTTATGGCCAACATTTTTTGAACATGGACTATTAATAATATTATGAACAATTTGAAAACGCGATTTTTGTTTGAAACATTTGCTATTTTAGTAGCGATATATATGGCATTCACATAATTTTCCTCATTGGTAAATAATAAAAAAAGTGACGGTTTATGTGTGAATATATAAATAAATATTTTTATTTAATATCTCCTATTTCCCTAATCGTTAAAAGTATAATCTACATTTCCCTAATTTCATGGAAAATCGCTATCGATATTTAATTAGGGGAAATGTGCCATGAATTGCCATGTTTTTGCTTTTTTTGAAAAAAGGTGTTAAAATTTATGTTTAACCAAACAAATTTTATATCAATGTGTAGCCTAAATATTAATCTTTAAAATAAAATTTGAATCAAAGCTTTATGTATAATACTTTATGAGCTAAATGAGATTATGTGAAAGTTGTTTTTCTGGCCAGTCAATACATACTATGTATAGTAGAGATCTGCAAAGTTAGGTCCGGCCCGTACCCAGCCCGAGTTCGTCGGGCCTAATTTTATTTAAACTAATCGGGTTCCCCCCGGGCCGGGCTTAATATTTTTATAGTAGTTTTAAATTTCAAAAAATATATAACTAATACTTTTTTCAAAAGTTATTTTTATGGAATTTTTTTTAGGAACGAGTGAACCCAACACGGGGACCAGTGGCCCCAACAAAGGTAAGGATCCGAAGCAATTGCTTCTAAAAATTTGAATGGGGGTACTTTAAAAAATTTTTATTTAATTCTTTTATTGTTTTACTTCCATAACCAAGTGATTTCTGGTTTATGATATAGGACTCGACCTCGTGATTCCGTATACATATTAAATTCAATAATAAATGGGGTTTCTTATTACATTTTAATAAATTTTGGTCGATGTTTAGTAAATAAGGGGTTGATTTCTTGTCATAAAATTATTTTACCAATTTCAAAATATGCCTAAAAATATTAACCAAAATAATACAAATGCTTATTTAATAATTGCACATGGCATAATATAAGAGATGATAAATTCTTACTACATCATATACTGCCAAGACTTCTTAATACCATGAAAAATCGATTTCTTAATAATTTAACCATTTTATCAATAATTTTTTTTTATCTAATCAATTAAATAATTATGATTAGAGGTGGGCGCGGGCCGTGAAATTACACCACGGTGGGTCACGACCAGGGTT